GGTGTTACTTTATATTGGGGCAAAAATGGCCAGTCCCAGACTCAGTGATCGCAACAAAAAATTATTGCTTTTATCTTTTTACTGATTAACTTTAAATTCATTAGATCACTGCAAATGTATTAGTTTTAGTATAGATAATGATCTATTGATTATTCCATGCTGGCGGGATTTCATCTTTAAAATATTTTATCATTAGCATTCAGAGGTTGGCATGGACATGTGAAAAAAAATCTCATAACACTGAAAAAAACATTCTTGTAATTGCTGAGCAAGGTGGTGCATTCCATTACATTTAGGGTTCTGTACTGTGGCTCCCTCTAAACCAAAAACATGGCTGCTAGAGACCTGTCAAGTGTGCTATCATCAGGGCTTCTCTTGCTTTAGAAAGAAAGAAAAAATTTTAGAGGGAAAACCATTCTGTATCAACCCTTCTTTTCCAACTTTAGCATTAGACCTTGGAGCATCCACAATGTGCTACAGCGGTAAAAGAAAAGTAATATTCACAAAAATTTACAAAAGTAAATTTTTAGCACAAAAATGTAATCAATAAATGCAGAGTATGTTTGGTTCTGATATATTAACTGAAACGATTTTAGCGACCTCACTAAAAGGTAACTGACAAAGGTTTTCAGTGATATCATAACTCATTGTGAAATGTATATCTGTGTGCAAGCGTGTGGAAAGAAGCGGCTTGACAAGGAACAATATGTGTTGTGCAGTCAACACAACTAGTCGGACACCCACAAACCTTAATGGTCAATCCTTCCAAAAAAATGTTAAAAAACAATCCACCGGACTTTATTTACAAGTTGGAAGATGTTTTGCTTCCCATCCAGGAAACTTTCTCAAAAATGTCAGATATGGTGTTTGAACAGAATTTGTGGCAAATATATTCCATGTGTGTGCAGAATTAACTGTTTGACCATGATTAGAGCTCGAATCACTCTTTCCTAGTAGGGCGTGTGTTCATAAACAGTATATAGCAGCCGAAATAATATCTGATCAAATAAGATAGTTTACCACCCCTACCTGGGAGGGCAATAAACATCTTAAAGTATCAGAAATATAAAATCCCAACATTAATATGACATCCTAACTGGATGGACATTGAACTTAAAATCACAACATTAATTGGCAACCCAGGTTGGTGACCCATTGAATATTACTTTTCCAGTGACTTGTTGACATGAACAGCTTCCTGTTTTCAAAGGTATTTATATTAACGGAGTATCTTCTTTTTTTTTTTTTTTCTAAGAAATTCTGAGTTGTTCCTAAATGTAGCAGCTGGAAATATATAGTCGACCCCCCCTGCTGACCTGTCAGTCATTGTTCCACACCCATGTGACCCTCTTTGAAAATTCAGAGAACCTGCTATGGCCAACATTAATTAATTCTGTGATTTTCTTGTTGCAGAAGCATTTAATTTCATTTACAGCACCATCATCTACTATTAATGTTCTTGGCTGTTCTCTTCAAGGTCATCCTACAGGGCAGGGAACCTGTTTTTAGAGGAATCTCAATATCCTTATCTCAGTGGGTCCTTCTGTATCCTTTGTTTTGGAAAAAACAGCTTTTTGCACCGGTTGATACTTGGAACAGAAGATGTTTCTCTGAAGTCTTAGCCAGGTTTTGTCATCTAAATGTGGCTTCTACCACTTTTCAGATCTGGGTTGCTTTGGCTATGAATTAAGAAGCTAAAAAGTGCTAAAAATAGATGGAGGCGGGGAGCAAGAAAGAGATGTGTCTGAGCAGGCAGAGGGGCGGAAGAGGTGGAAGGTTAAATCTTGAGGTCCAATTTGCTCTGCAGGATCTACAAGATCCTAATCTCTCTTACTGCTTAGTGTAAAATTCATAGAATGCCACCAGTTGTATAATGTTGCTTACTGTGTGGGATATGCTACCTACTTTAAATTAAGCATAACAAAAGTTAATAAATTAAGTTAAAAACTTATTAAGCTAAGTAAAAAAGTTCTAAAAAAATAATTAATCCCAAAAAATTTTCAGATAAGTTAAAGAAAACAAATGAAGTACCTGTATAGGCACTGATTTTCTGTTTTGAGTCCAGGACTTGCTGCAAGGCGACAGTGCTACCAACTGCACCACAGAAAAAAAAAAAAAAAAAAACATGCACAGCAGCACTCAAAGAGTGGTAGCACAAAAGCCTTTTGACTGATATTGCATGTTGTAAATTGACATAAGACCTAAGACATGTTTTACCTATGTTGTGCCATAAGCCATGATCATACTTTTTGGACATTGGGAACCAGTGTCCATATTTCATCTTGACATGTTGATGTGGAATCAGCTGTGGAATATTTGCAACAACCCCCGTTTCAGGCCCCGTCCACACGAAGACGAACCCTGGCCTTAACGCACAAATTTTTCACCAAACCAGCCTCTCATCCACACGAAGCCGGCGTTTCGGGGGTCTGTAAACGATCATTTTTTTATTCAGCCTTCAGAGTGGGAAGATTCTGAAACGCCGTTTTCGCGTTTCCATCTTTACGCACTAACCGCATATTTTTTTTACACGCATGCGTCATAGCGTCGCCTCTACACACGCATGCGCGACCAGTATCACAACAACAATGGCGCCGTTGCTAATGCTACTCACCCTGCTGTCGGGCTTACAACAGAATCTTCTTCTTCTGGAATATCTCCAGGAAGAACAGAGCAATATCGACGACATAGTTCAGCACCTGAATTTCACTTAACCACGAAAATGGACCCGCAGGGCAACCATGTATAAATATTAGTGCACATGCCCAACATTTCGTCGCTTATTTTTGCTTTGGCACCACAGCGCCACTTACAGGCCTGGCATACATTTTGCAGCGTTTTCATGCATTCGTGTGGACGCTCACATTTATTTTACGTCTCCGTCTTTACGGCAAACGTTTTGGAAAATATCAGCGTTTCGTGTTCGTTTTGACTTCGTGTGGACGGGGCCTCAGGCAAGGCCTCCACAGGCAAGTCACATGGAAACCACCAGAGGTGTGAAAACCTACCCCCCTCTATGTGAGGACAGAGAAAACCAGAGAGCACACAGAATTCTTCTCTTCTGTTCCAGCCGTTGTTTTCCTCCTGCTCCCTTTGGCTCCTGCTCTCCTTGTCTTGTCTCCCTTGCCCAGGGAGCTGGGGTCCGCTGTGGTGGAGATGCGGGCCCCAGGGGAACAAGATCCCCAGAACCATCAAGGATAACCGAACTGCTGCAAACAGACCTTTTGCAACACATTTCTCTTGAGTTTCAGAACTTTTAGAGCCAAACTGGATGAGGACCATGCCCGGGGTGTGAGACTGAGAGGACCCCTGCTGTGAGACTCGGATAAAGACCCCCTGACTGCAGAGCTGCAAAACTGGATGAAACTCGGGCCCCGTCCACACGAAGTCAAAACGAACACGAAACGCTGATATTTTCCAAAACGTTTGTCGTAAAGACGGAGACGTAAAATAAATGTGATCATCCACACGAATGCATGAAAACGGTGCAAAATGTATGCCAGGCCTGTAAGTGGCGCTGTGGTGCCAAAGCAAAAATAAGCGATGAAATGTTGGGCATGCGCACTAATATTTATACATGGTTGCCCTGCGGGTCCATTTTCGTGGTTAAGTCAAATTCAGGTGCTGAACTATGTCGTCGATATTGCTCTGTTCTTCCTGGAGATATTCCAGAAGAAGAAGATTCTGTTGTAAGCCCGACAGCAGGGTGAGTAGCATTAGCAGCAACCATTCAACACAGTACGGCGCCAATGTTGTTGTGATACTGTGTCGCGCATGCGTGTTTAGAGGCGACGCTATGACGCATGCGTGTAAAAAAAAAATGCGGTTAGAGCTTAAAGATGGAAACGCGAAAACGGCGTTTCAGAATCTTCCCACTCTGAAGGCTGAATAAAAAAAAGATTGTTTACAGACCCCCAAAACGCCAGCTTCGTGTGGATGAGAGGCTGGTTTGGTGAAAAATTTGTGCGTTTAGGCCAGGGTTCGGCTTCGTGTGGACAGGGCCTCAAGCTTTCCAAATGAACATGGAAAAAGGTTTGCAGGATAAGGGACAGAACAAACAATGTGTCTTTTGATGATGCTAATCATATCGTGTGTTGACTGCTGAGTAAAGACGACAGTAACTGATGCTAAAGAATGGACTGCATGCTACGTTATGCTACAGGAATATGTGTTGGGCTGTTGCTGAAGCTTGGACAAGCTTTATTAACTAAGGGTTTAAACACTGATATAACATTAGTGTTCATGTGTTCCTCAAATGCTCATTACATTTCCATTACCAAGTATGACCAAGAGTCATTTAGTGGAATCCTGATGTCTACTCGCTGCTAGCTATTTCAAGGAAGGTAAAGAATCATTTAGCTAAAGGTTATTGGTTCTTGATTAAGCAAATCATTTAATAAAACATTATTTGGCCAAATAATGTTTTATTCACCTCATGGATTTGCATTGTGAATTGGTCTGAAAACATTCCAATTTCTTTAAAATTAGTGAAAAGCTAATTTGATCATATCCCAAATTCTTCCAGATAAACTGTGGTTTTAAACACAAGATCCATCTTAAACTGTAATATTTTTTTCAACCGGTTTAGTTGAGTTTTACTAGTCTTAGTTGAGAGTGTTAAACTGAAATATGTTTGACTTGAAGCTGAATGAATTTTGTTAATAAACTCTTATATTTTGAACAGAAGTTGTGGTAAATTTATTCCATGTATGTGCAGAATTAAATGTTTGACCATGATTAGTGCTCGAATCACTCTTTCATTCATTGTTCTAACACACAGTTAGTAGGACTGTGTGTCATAAACACTATATAACAGCTGAAATAATATCTGATTAAATAAGATATTTTACCACCCCTACAGGGAAGGGCAATAAACATCTTAAAGTATCAGAAACATAAATTCCCAGCTGGCTGGGAACAGAATTTAACATAAAATCACAACACCTACATGCTATGATGTGTATAATTGGCATTTATAAATGAATAAAGCGAGCTTAGACTTTCATAACAGAGTTAATGTTTATTTGCATTTAGTTGTACGTTAACATATTACTGTATACATTTTGGTAATTTTAAATACATATTTTGAATAACTGTAATCTTCAATTAAATATTTTTCATGCTTTCATAAATCAGATCTTACCAGTATTACCAGCATTTTTATCTCATCAGTGTTTGATAGTGATGCTTTTCACCTCTGTGAAGAAATGATAAGAATCCTTCCCCCCCTCCCTGCCCACACCAGAGTGTTTCATCCCTCCAAATGGCAGATTCAGATCTCTCACTAACCAGCAGTTGGTCCAAACCAGTCCAGCTTGTAGACGCTGGGCCATACGGTGAACCCTTCCCACATCCTTGGACCACACAGTTGCTGACAGGCCGTAGCGGACCCCGTTTCCCCTGGCAACAGCCTCCTCCTCTGTGTCAAAGGGACAGACGCAGGTGACTGGGCCAAAAATCTCCTCCTGCATGACGCGGGAGCTGTCAGGGAGGCCTGAGATAACTGTAGGACGCATGAAGTAGCCAGACTTGTTCGGCTCAGGAAGGTCGAGGTGGTCAACTCCTTCACCGCAGTGGATTACAGCTCCTTCCGATTTGGCAAGTGCTACAAAGCTGCGAACCTTGTGATTAAGGGAGAAAAAAAAATTAGTTTTAATAAAGCATGCCCCCCCCCCCCCCCCCCCCCCCCCCCCAAAAAAAAAAAAAAGGAAAACAAATCAACAGCTCACCTTCTCTAGATGCTCTTTGCTGATGAGAGCTCCATTGTTGTTGCTTGGGTCAGATGGGACCCCAGTCTTCCACTTCCTTGCCGCAGCTACAAATTTTTCAAGAAACTCAGAGTAAATGCTCCTCTCCACATAAATTCTACTGGTGCACAGGCAGATTTCTCCCTGTAAGGAGAAAATGAGAGAAAGTAGGAGTTTACTTATGAAAGGTAAACCTTGCAATCAACAAGTGGTATGTAGAGCATCACCATATTGTCAGTGTGTTTTTCTCCTCATCACCCACACTGAAAACTACTCTCTATCTCTCTACACACACTCCTAATGAGAAAGGTTCAAAAGATGGATGATCTTTTTCTGAAGTCAGAGGAGACGAGGAGCTCTCATTAGCCTGGTGATCAATGGAAGTGAGCGGACCTCATTAACTTATCCGAGCGGTGAGTATATGAGGCAGATTTATCTAACATTGCTGCTAACACTGCCTCAGAGATGAATATCTCTAAACTTCGAACCACTGAATTTAACTCAAAATGGTTTTATGAACCAATTTGGCTCTATAATAGGGTTGTCAAAAGTATCGATACTCAAAAAAGTATCGATACTGAAACGTTGTATCCGGATACAATACTCATTTTCAAAAGTATCGATACAGTGCCACCACCAGCGGCACCTAAAGTGCATCTAAAGTGCAGAATAGAGGACAATGCACTTTCAGAACACTATGTGATAGCATACAACCTCAAAATATTGTTCTTATTGTTTATTGTATTTATTTATTGTATTTTATTAATGAAAATATTTCTGTTGAATTTTGGAGTCTTTGTTTTTATCCTTGTGGTATCGAAAATGGTATTGAGTATTGAATATTTTCCTTTGTATCGGCATCGAGTTGAAAAGTTTAGTATCGTGACAACCCTACTCTATAAGACCAAGTACGGTAACAGTGAGCATTTTTTCCATTACATGAAAATATTATAAAATATATTGAACAGCAAAACCTTACTATTAAATTTAACATTAGATGCACTTTTATATAGTGTTTTGATATACAAAATGCACATATTGGCTCTCCTCTATATAAAACTGGCATTGAGATGCCAGCATGCATATGCAAAAAGGCACAGCAAATAATGTAAATTGTTAATACCGAGGAAAATAAGATATATTCATGCAGTTTTTTATGTGCTAGGTTTCTCAATTGCTGAAAACTTTAAGCCAGTGATTAACATGGAGCCCATGGAGCATGAGGCAATATTTGGTTGGTTATAAATGCCTTGGACTTTAAGTGATAACATTTTTGGTTCCCTGTTTGCACTTTATGTACCGGTATGTTAACTTATTTCAATTTTAATTATGACCAGCATTACATTGATAACTTTCAGATTTGATGACACATTTAATTTAGTTTCAACTTAAATGCAAACAATCCTTTTTTGTAATTTTTTTATTTTTATTATTTTTACAATAATGTGCCTTTACTAAAACAGGTAGTCAGGGTTCAAGCACTGTCAGTTATATATTACAATAACACGTAATTGAAATCTCATAATTCTAAAGTTTCTGCCAATAAAGAAAAAAAAACAAAAAAAAAAAAAACAATGGGCTGCCGATAAGGGACCTATTTTTGGGTTTGGTCAATTTTTCAGGGGAATGCTGCAGAGCAGTTTTCTGTTTTAGGAGGAGGTTGTATTTGGTATGATTGACTGACTTGTCCCAGTAATAAGGCAAAGCAACATTTCTATGATTTTTTTTCTTAATCTATCTTTAAGGTCTGTTTAAATAATGTTTACATATTGAAAGCATATGTAGAAAATTTTATAAACAAAAGTATCATCACTGATACTTTTGATACAGCTTACCTGATTTAAAAAGCTTGAGCGTACAGTTGTCTCAATGCACCGCTCCAGGTCTGCATCAGCAAAGATAATAGCTGGGTTTTTACCCCCTAACTCCAAGGAGAGCTTCTTACAGTAAGGGGCGCTCCGCTCTGTGATGCGTTGGGCAGTTCCAGTAGAGCCAGTGAAGGAGATCAGCGGCACATCTGGGTGTGCAACAAGAGCGTCTCCTGCTTTTGGACCAGTGCCAAACACGATGTTGACCACACCTGGAGGGACACCTGTCAGATAGAAGGTAGATATTAAAAAGTAGGCAGTAGGATATGATTCTGAATAAGAATCTCTTCTGTTCATATCATGCAACAGCAAAATGTAGTCATACCAGCTTCCTCGAAGAGTTTGCACATCATCCATGCAGTCACAGAGGTCATCTCACTTGGTTTGGCCACCACAGTGTTACCCATGGCAATCGCTGGGGCAATTTTCCAAGTAAGCAGGTACAGAGGAAGGTTCCAGGGACTAATCAAGCCAGCTAACCACACAACAAAAAACATGTCACACTCATGACTCAAGCAAAATCTCTCCAGTCATTAAAGCAACCAGCTGAACACTCACCAACTCCGACTGGACAGCGTACAGTGTAGTTCAAGCAGCCCATGTGGTCCATCTGGCTGCAGTCGGTGGTGTGGTGGAGCACAGATGATGCAAAGAAGCGGAAGTTGTACACAGACCTGGGTATGTCCACAGTCCGAGCCAACATCACAGTTTTCCCTGCAGAGTTAGAATAAAACTTGTTGTTAGAAGACATAACTTACATGTGCAATGCATAGAATACTGATGTATCAAATTATATTAAAATATATAAATAATTTAGAACACTGGTTTTATATAATTAGTGTGATATAACTTTTGCATCTACGACAATGACCACAGGACATTATTTTGTCTCTTTTTTTTTGTTGTTTTAAATTGATTAGCTCATTGATTTTCAATATGTAATCATGTGGTAGGGATATGAAATAATATATTTCAAAACAGGGAAATATTATATAGTCTATTGCATATATCTGCTCCATTGTTGCACAAAAAAATACCCCAGATTTCTTGGATCAAGCTTGCTGCTGCCATTAACTAATTTCTGTGGCATAATGATAATCTTAATATGTGATTCTTATACAAGAGGCTTTAACATGCTGTTGGCTCACCCAGTTACAGATACAACAGCTGATTGGAAAAGTATGTAAAATGTTTAGAATGTTATTTATAAAAATAATTAATCACTTTTCCAAGAAAGAGTTTTTGATGTCTGACAGCAATATGTAATGAAAAGGCTAGGCATGCTCTCTCACACTGTTCTGGCCATTGTTCAAACAGGTTGGTGCCACTGCAGCTAAAAGTGTGAGCTTTTAGCTGCAGAAAGTTGTTAACTTGGTCACTATACACCTCCACATCCACTAAGTACAGTAATATCATCCTAACAGAGTGTCTATAAATGGATGGTTAATAAAAATAAAAATAAAAAAAATATATATATATATATATATATATATATATTTTTTTTTTTTTTTTTTTTTTTTAAACAGAAAAATCTAATGTGTTTTACGTGCTTAGCTTCAAACAACAATGCATAGAATTACATTGATAAGACAACACAATATAAGTAACCTTGATCCTTTGACTCGGCCTGAACAAACTCCTCCATGTTGGCTTCAATCAGATCGGCTAGCTTGTTGAGGACCTCTGCTCGCTGCTGTGGACTGCGAGCCGACCAATCAGGGAAGGCTTCTTTAGCCGCTGCCACAGCCTCTTCCACCTGCATCCATCAAAGGTAGAGAAAGGGTTCAAGGATCACGGCTCTACTTAAATGAAAAGACATGAAAAAGCTGAATGATATTCAAACCCTTTAGTTTCAATATCGACACACCTTGTCTCAAATGTTCAATCAACTTAGACACAACTGAGCTGTACAGTAGGTGATGACAGACAGTTGAGAAAAAAAATCGTGTACCTTGGTAAAGCAATCTTTTTCTGTGGAAAGAAGATTAAAGTTCCTCTGAAATCAGATGAAGCCTTCATTCGCCATATAAAGAGTATTTTATAAAAGAAAAATAAGATATATTCTTTAAGCTATTAATCGATAGAGAAGCACTTGCATGAAAGAAAAAGATGCACAAAAATAAAACAATTCAACCAGTTTATTCACACCTATTTTTTATAATGTCCTTTAGAGATGATATTGTACATATTTTTTGAGGTATTATGTGTAGTTGTTTTCTTTAGAGTTTGCTTAAGCTGATCATTTTCTCATCTTAGCATTTTTCGGTGTCACATCAAACTATCTGCATTCTAGTTTGGGCACATGGTGTGTACCACACTCAACATGGACCAGAAGAAGCAAAGGAAAGAGTTGTCACAGAACAATATAAAGAAAATCATTTTTATTGTCATCACACTGTCATAAGTACAGAGCAAGGAAATAAACTCTCTGCATGTAACCCATTCCCTTATGAAGCAATGGGCTGCCATTGTGCGGCACACAGGGAGCAGTGTGGGATTAAGGGTCTCTGCTCAGGGACCCAGAATGTCAGTCCTAGCGAGTGGGGCTCAAACTCAGATCCTCAGGATTCCAAGCTCTATGCCCTAACCACTAGTTCGCCACTCCCTAAAATTATAGACAAGCATGTTAAAAATAAAGCATTTAAGACCATGTCCAAGTAGTTTCATGTTCCTGTGACTTAAGTTGCACATACACTATATTGCCAAAAGTATTTGCTCACCTGCCTTGACTCACATATGAGCTTAAGTGACATCCCGTTCCTAATCCATAGGGTTCAATATGACGTCGGTCCACCCTTTGCAGCTAGAACAGCTTCAACTCTTCTGGGAAGGCTGTCCACAAGGTTTAGGAGTGTGTTTATGGGAATTTTTGACCATTCTTCCAGAAGCGCATTTGTGAGGTCGCACACTGATGTTGGACGAGAAGGCCTGGCTCTCAGTCTCCGCTCTAATTCATCCCAAAGGTGTTCTATCGGGTTGAGGTCAGGACTCTGTGCAGGCCAGTCAAGTTCATCCACACCAGACTCTGTCATCCATGTCTTTATGGACCTTGCTTTGTGCACTGGTGCACAGTCATGTTGGAAGAGGAAGGGGCCAGCTCCAAACTGTTCCCACAAAGTTGGGAGCATGGAATTGTCCAAAATGTCTTGGTATGCTGAAGCATTCAGAGTTCCTTTCACTGGAACTAAGGGGCCAAGCCCAGCTCCTGAAAAACAACCCCACACCATAATCCCCCCTCCACCAAACTTTACACTTGGCACAATGCAGTCAGACAAGTACCGTTCTCCTGGCAACCGCCAAACCCAGACCCGTCCATCAGATTGCCAGATGGAGAAGCGCGATTCGTCACTCCAGAGAACGCGTCTCCACTGCTCTAGAGTCCAGTGGCGGCGTGCTTTACACCACCGCATCCGACGCTTTGCATTGCACTTGGTGATGTATGGCTTGGATGCAGCTGCTCGACCATGGAAACCCATTCCATGAAGCTCTCTGCGCACTGTTCTTGAGCTAATCTGAAGGCCACATGAAGTTTGGAGGTCTGTAGTGATTGACTCTGCAGAAAGTTGGCGACCTCTTCGCACTATGCGCGTCAGCATCCGCTGACCCCGCTCCGTCAGTTTACGTGGCCTACCACTTCGTGGCTGAGTTGCTGTCGTTCCCAAACACTTCCATTTTCTTATAATACAGCTGACAGTTGACTGTGGAATATTTAGGAGCGAGGAAATTTCACGACTGGATTTGTTGCACAGGTGGCATCCTATCACAGTTCCACGCTGGAATTCACTGAGCTCCTGAGAGCGACCCATTCTTTCACAAATGTTTGTAAAAACAGTCTGCATGCCTAGGTGCTTGAATTTATACACCTGTGGCCATGGAAGTGATTGGAACACCTGATTCCAATAATTTGGATGGGTGAGCAAATACTTTTGGCAATATAGTGTATTATTCAGATATTCAAGATCCATGTTTCTGTAGGCGACCTTTCTGAACTTGGCTGCAGGAGGACAATTGATGACAATAAAAGAGAGGGCTAATACAAATGGTAACAATAGAGCCAAGGAAAACTTCTAATGAGCTTAAAGGTGAACTTTAAGAACATTGTAAGATTGCACCACCCACCACTGTTTGAACCAAAGTGGACTCAATGGGAGACGACAGAGGAAGACACTATTGTTGAAAACAAAACATGACAAAACAGAAAGAAAACTGCTAAACAACATGTTGACAAGCCACAAAGCTTCTGGGACAAGGTCCTATGGACAAATAAGATAGAAATGTTTCTTGCCAAAGCACATCAGCCATATGTCCACAGACAGAAAGACATATCAGGAAAAGAACACTGTCCCTACCACAAAATATGGAGGAGACTGTTATGAAATCTCCAGACTATCAAGGGATTCTAGAGAGGAATGTACTGCCCCGTGACCCTTATGTGAAATAGTTTTAGACAACATACTCTAAAGTCTAGGTCTTCAACAGGGGGTCTGCGACCCCTAGGGGGTCCAGGGAGGGACTGCATAGGTGTCGCAAAAGTTTTGGTTGATTAGACTTTTTTTTCCTACCAATTGAAATGTCTTTAAATACACATTAACATTATTCAACACACTGTAGTAAACAGATAAATGGAGGCAGAAGATGCCTCTCAGTCATCAATGCTCACATTCAGCGACACACAGGAGCTCTTTCAAGCTGGGCACCATTTCATTCACAACACCTGTCCCATCAACCAGGAATCAGAAATACTTTAATAATCCCAGGGAGAAATTACTTTAATTACATTACTTCATCTGTAATAGAGTGACTATAGGACCAGTTTGATATAATTGCATACAATATATATAATTAGGGGGTCCCCGCTCTATCTCGCCATCAGTCTGGGGGTCTTTGGCCTGGAAAACGTTGAAGACCCCTGTTATAAAGTAAAAGTGTTACCCACTGCTTTCTGTTCCAACCAATATGAATTATAATCGCATGCAGGAGTTTAGCCTCTCAAAACCCACCGGGGCACAGGCGAACCATTTCAAAGTGTTTACAACTAACATCTCAGAACGCATGAAAATTACACCAGTAAAATGTTTACCACTATAGACCTGTTAGACTTCGTTGGAAAGCTTAGATTCTCCACAATTGAACCACCAAGTTTATTTTATGGACCCAGCGAGCACCACAACACAATTAACACAAATATGGCAGCATGTCAAAATGTAAACATGACAAAGCAGCCACAACATACCTTTGAATGCATCCAGAACCCGTTTTATAAATCCAATCCTGAATTGTTTATACTCTATTCGTCCGTAAGGGCCCACAGATTAAAAGTAATCCAGCATATTCGTAATAAAAAGATTCCATGATGAGAAAATCGTCACATAACGTCCAGTTTTTGACATCAGAAAAGTTAGCTTTTAGAAGGTTGGACGTTGATTTTGTTTTATTAAAATGCAATTCAATTTTTAGGCTTATAAATGTTACATTTTATTACATACACTAATTCTGAATAAAAGTGGAAATACTTGCTCCATAAATGTTTTGTGGCCATCAAAATGCTTCAGTGTTATTCTGTGGGTCAAATAGTTGAGAAGTAAAAGCATTTGGAACAATTTGGCACATTTGGGAGATTTGGAGATGCTGGTGACACCAAATGTTCAAAGCCCCACAGCTCTGGAACTGTGGTAGCTAGAGGTCTGAAGTTTTCTGCATTTGTAGTTGGCATGATGAAGAACAAATATAATCCAATAGGACATGTCTTTACTACTGCTGTTCAAAAAAGACCTATTATTTTTGAGAAAAAAACTAACTTTGAGTCATGTTTGAATTGATGCGGCTTGAGCTGTGTTTTACTCACACAATTTTCATTTATATTCAGAAACTAGAAGGTGTTAGCTTTCAAATAGTGTATCACAAATGTAATTTTGACTTACAGTTTCTAAGTTATATGCTTTTCCATTTGGGTATGCAAAATAAGCAAGGATTACTTCAAAATGAGGGGAAGGTTAGATTACTATTATTCCCATTTTTGTCAAAGGATTTAGCATCTTTACATGGTCATAGTTGTAAATAAAACTGGCTACTATCCAAACCTGATGATATGTAATCAGAATATTTGCGTCAATCGACCAACATGAGGAAGAACTTTCTAGCAAAAAACAGACAAGGAGACTCATCAATTAAAAACTGAAGACGAAAAGGTAAGATGAGGGAAGAAAAGGAGATGGTTGTATAGGATCAATAAGGAAACAGAAGAGATCGTAACTGAAAGAGGGAACAGAGAGGAGACAGGATTAACAGCAAGACTTGGATTTAGACATGAATATTTACGTCTATACTTCTTTGAAATACAAAAGCATAATTACAAGCAATTGTGAGCACTATGGCTCACTTTGTTTTTACTTGTACAGCATTTAATTTTGCTTCTTTTTTCCAGATTATTCAATCACAAATTCATAATTATATTGACACACAAACATATGTTAAGTCTCGTTTGAAATTTTTATGGATTTTTATCAAATGTTTTTTTAGTTTAAAAAAAATTTCTCCTAGTTAAATTCACTCGACGGAATAAATATCAAGATGAGGACTGAACCATCATTTGACTTTGATCATGGTTACGTTTTGGGGTTTTTTTGCACATTTTTGTTCTTCAATAACTGATTTTGATAAAGGATATGAACATTTTTTATGTTAAATCTTTATTTTACCGTACTGTAAAATTTTTCATTTGCAGACATAAAGTGATTTTCATTACACAAATTGTGGAAATTATGGGGTTTGTAGGACAGTGGCAGTTTGGAGTTTTACTACCTAAAGTAAACATTTCTGGTCCTTGTAGAGCTTCTACAAAAATTAAAAAGAAAAGTTTTTTGGACAATTTTGCAGTTAAAAAGTTACTTAAATATTTAGATTTTGTACTTTTTGGTGTAAAGTTACTAGTGGACAAAGTAGAAAACCTTTTCAACAGCTCCCAGGTATCGAAACAGCTGGATTTTTACTGACACTCCATAAACAAATAAATCTGTTTTGTATTTTTCTTTCTATATAAACTAAAAAAAAAAAAAAAAAAAAACTTTGTACTTTTTATTTCAAGACACAACTAAGGATCTCATATTTCCACCTTCCAAAAGTCAGTTTATTGACATGCTTGTTTAATGATTACCTGTGTGTTGACTCTGCAAAGAGCAAAGGTGCTTCTTGCTGAAATGTTTTACAGGAGATGCCTAACTTAATATGCATTAACAGATATTCTGCTAAAAATCAGTACACATATTTAAAAACAATTTAGTCAGTAGAATTGAAAAAAATAAAAAGGTAAATATGTTAAGTCATTCAAAGGCTTATATGAGGAAAAAAAGGACATTGCAGCCGAGGAACAACATGCATGTCAGAACCATTAAGAAATCAAACTTTGTGACACCTTACCTCCTCCTTACCACTGTCTGGTACCTTACAGTAGACCTCACCGGTGGAAGGGTTGTAGGAGTCGATGTGACTTTTACCGGAGATGAACTTTCCTCCAATATAGTTCTCCAGAACCAGATAGGAATGCTTTTCTGAGCTTTTTGGCATGGTTGTAGTTAAGGAAAACCTCAAAACTAATAAGAGAAACTGTAAAAATGACAGCCGCTGCTACCGACCAGAGCCCAGAAGCAAGCTTAAGTAAAGCAGGTGTTGAACTGACCGTCCCACAAAGCAGCCTCCTCTCTCATAACCAGATAGTGTTGTGTTCAGCTGCAGGGGTGACTTATGATTTTTCCAAGTCACCATTATAGTGAGAGATTAACGACAAAGCTGATAGCGGAATACACTCAAATATTAAAGGTGTAGTATACCAAGAGTTGAATCATTACAAAAATAGTTTATCAACGACGATCAGAATTAGCTATAAATACAAAGGTGTGATGACTTAGTCTGGTAAATTTATGTGAAATAATCTGCATATATATTTAATTTAACATAGAAAAGCAGTGCTCTGTCTACTTCAATTCCATTAGGTCTTTTAAAGTGGAATAAGTAGTGTTGAGTGTGCAAGATTAGAAGTCATAAATCAGCATTTCTTGCAAAGAAAAAAAAAAACAATTTCAGCAAAAATTAAATATGTAGGATACTAAAAAATCTGAGCTGTATTTTACTAAGATTCGAACCACTGGATTAAAAGAACAAAGGCTTTGACCTTTTATATAATATTTGGTTTCTAATTAACAAAGCATGTAACACAAACTGACTGCCTTGGATGCTGCTGGAAGATTTGTTTTCTCCTTCTGTTTGCAGACGAACATGGGTACTTAAATAAAAAATAAAAAAAATTATTACAATAGTATGGTAGAAGACAGATGATGTATATTAATGTGTCAGACTTCCAGGGAGTATTGCATCAGTTTCCTGTAAATGTTGTTAGTAATATCAGTAAAGCAACTTTCTTGCAGATTTTGATGATAAAGATATGGAATTATTTGTGTATGCATACCAGGCTTCATGTTTGGATACCAGGCTTCATCTTTGGAGGTCCATCCAAACAGTGGTGCATGGTGGTGGCCGCATCATGTTGTAAGGGCATTCACAGGGCAAAATTACAACAGACAGTACAGAGACATCCTGCGTTAAAACCAACTCCAGTGAATGTTGGGGTTTCAGACTGGAGTGACTCATGTTTTAGCAGAATAACGTTATCACATACAAAGGAGTGTCTGAAGGAAAACTCACGCAAAGAGCTCACAGAAATCTGAATAAACAACTCTACAAAGAGAGGAAATGGATTTGCACCAACTTTTCCCATTTGATGCAGCTGAAAAGGTTCAATGAAGAGCAACTGAACATGTATATATGGAATGTATATCATTCAGTTATAGAATAACAGTGGGACAAACAAATCGACAGGAAACAGAATATTAGTCATAATGTAATTTTATTGAACTGGAAACATTTAGGCTGCTGAATAACACCTTGTAGGTGCCGTTAGTAACTGGTCTATAAGGTTGGTTTCTAGTTCTTACTTTGAAGTCATTTTTGTAAGTATTGATCAGATGCAATGAAATGAGAGCCTGAAACTGACTTTTACACTTTTCGTTTGCGACAATAAAGAACTTTGGTGCCTTTGCTCTTTTATTGTTTTGTCGTAGACTCAGTTTGCAAATCAAAACACAGACCAGCACCTGATGAAGAGTTCATTTTTCAATTTTATTTTTTTTTAAAAAAGGGAAAGCCCTTTTTTATTTGCAACTTCACTTGAATTTCCATTTGGATTATCTTATACCATCATCTTTAAAGTAGATAACCTGTTTTGTTTAACTAAAAAGCATTCAAATGTTGTTCACCTTTACCCCTGAGCTACCGGTAACTTAGGAAGCAAAATATCTTTTAGCAAAAAAAACATTTTATATATATATATATATATATATATATATATATATATATATATATATATATATATATATATATATTGTTCACAGATTCCAAACTGATGTTTTTGAAGCTTTAGATTAATTTCTGAAAATCCTAGTTAAAACAATTATTTACTACATTTAACTTGTTCATGATCCTTACAAGCTCCTTCAATGGAAATCCTTTGAGTAGGACGTTTATTTAGTCTGATTACTGCATTAACTTTATTGAAAATGAGTTTTTGGGGTGAAGTTAGTGTTGATTGTGATGGTCAGGTCAAGCAGCCACTGCAGTAATGGGAGAGCTGGGGGGATGAAAAAGGTGCCCGGACCCCATGAGTGGCATATATTGGAAGAACTGCTCAGTGTCTCTGGCTACAAAAGTGCTGCAGAGCACGATCTGAATTGCTCTTTGTTCGTGGGAATGACCTTCACTCTTTGATCTGCAATGAAGAGAGTTGAAATGGACAAAAATCATATTTAGTCAGAAAAAGGAAAATATCTAAGATATAAGAGAAACATAGTGAGTTAGGACAAAGAGTAAAAGCAATATGCAAGAGCTAAAAATACAAAAGATCAACCTTACCTCTGTGACAACACCTGCAGCAATGGTGGAACCAACATATCTCAGCATGAAGCGGCCCAGTTCTTTGTAGTCCTTATAGAGCTCTAATGACACCGGCCTCTGGGTCTGAATCTCCACAATCGCATTCATACCTTTACTCAAACACCTGAGCATCAAACAAACAGGAGGTAAACACTGTAAGTTTTCCAGTTATGTATAAATATGGACACAATCTGACCTCAGACAGTCATACTCCCACTCAGAGCCTGTGGGAATGTCAAAGTTTTCCTGAGGAAAAAAAAAATCTTTGGGCATTCAGCCTTCTCTGAACAGGAAGCCAAACTATGCAACTCTTTATTTATATTTTTTTTATTCCAAAAAACAAAAACAAATTAAAGAATCCTTTGAAAATTGCAGCCGCATTTGATCACTGAGAATCATTTTATGTTTTAATTTTTTTCAGGTCACTTAGGACATTAAAACAATCTGTTTCAGCACTACTGAAAAATTAAAATAATAACCAGATGACTTAAGAAATAACCCTGTCAAAAAACACAGTCCTATCCTAGCATATGCACATGAGAGTTTAATAATAAACACTTTGTAAGGAAGTTTACCTCAGTTCAATATCAGAAATCAGTTTTGATATGCTTCTATCTGGAGAACTAATCATCATGATCAAAAGAGCTGGTTAAAGGTATGAAAGAGAATTTGATTCAGAAATTAGGTGTCCAGATTAATCTAAAATGACTTAATTGATGGATGGCATTCTTGCACTTAGGATTCCCCCCTTCAAAAAATGTAAATCCATGAACCCTGGGCTGGTGGTTCCTACAAAGCTTTAGCCAATCCACTTAGCCTAATGTTGAAAGTGGATTGGCTACTTGTTTGTCAATCAAACACTTTGCATACGTGCCACGATGATGATATTTAAGTAGGCTCCAAGCCTAACTCATATGCTTTTTGGCTAGCGGTCCGCCTTTACACCAAAGCATGAAGAAGTACTCCTACACTTGTTTGCTGCTGCGGCTTTTTTTTATTTATTTGTTAACTCTTTTGTATAAAATGGAGCATCAATGGCTGAAAAGAATTCTGACAAACCTAACCGGAAAAGAAATTATTTACTTATTACTTTTTTAGACGTAGTTGAAAAGAGGAGATAAAGTGTTAAGAGAACGGAGCCGGCTAAGTGTGTTTAGGATATTCTTTTCGGAGATGGCGATCCCTGAAGGAGCAAAAGGGTCTGAAAAAAGATGCTTTGGTCACAAAACTTTAGCTGGACAAGTAAATTACCTTTAATTCTGTAGTAACTACTGTATTTCTTTAAATTATGAAACACATACAGTCAAAAATATGTAAAATGATACGTTGACAACAAAGGATGTGTTGTTTGAATTCCCTGTTGTTAGCCTAGCTGTATCTATTAGCTACATGCAGCTTGTTTGAGAAGAGGCGATTTTAATCTGTAGCAGCAGCGAGAACAAAAATGTATAGTTTGTTGTACAAATTTACAATTTACAACTTATAAATATAACTTGCAGTGATAATGCCGGCAGAGACCTCTTCATCTAATGGATATTTCCTGCTGAGTAGGCTGATCCTGGCACTTTGCTGCCTCTCAAGCTTAAATACAAAATACCCGGCAGAGGAGTTTCTAGCATAGAGAACTTTTCCGAAAGAGGGGCACTGACACATGCGCTCAATTCAATAATACACAAACAGCCGTTGGACATTTCTTCCACCACAAAATCCTGTTTCCTGCTTTTAAGGCCTTTAAAAGGATAAACGCAGCAGTTAATAGGTCTTCTAAGAAAGTTTAGAAGATCTTAAACTAAGTAGAAATGAGCTACAGGAGACCTTCGGATCAACTACAAACATGCCAACATTTGGTTTTAAAAACAAGTTTAACCAAAAAGATGCTGTAATTACACTTAATAAACCTAAAAAAACACAAAAAAACTCATAGGATCAACATCAAGCTCTTGATACTGTTGATATAAAAGTGTGTCTGTACAATCAGTAGGTAAACATTTAATAATGGGTGGTGTGCAATGAGGAAACATTTGCCCTCTTAATAAAATAAATAATATCAGGGACAGACAAAGGTTCGGCAGAGGGAACCCAGACAAAGACATCTGGAATGATAATGACTCTGAGAAAGATACATTTTTAACCCACGGCACAGAGACATCCAATAAATTAGATACAGAAATTCAGAAACTCATTCCAGATAGAAAGCATGGAGGTACAGCTGCATGGTGGTTTTAATTAAAGGGAAAAATAGCTTCAGAGACTGAATCTATTAACATTAATAAAAGGGACTGATAACTCACTTTGGTTTCTTTTTGAGGATTTCACCACTGCTCTTGTGTAGAACGCTGATTAGTTTCTTAATGGTGGCCGGCTCACTGACTGTCTGGTAATGCAGCAGCACCTGTACAAAAAAACATGTGCAAACATTATAGTTTTTTTACAAGCTCACATTAAAGTAGGGCAGAAAGAGCTGGAAAATCATTGTGCAACTGTAGTTAAGTCTTAAGATGATGGTGTCCTGTTGATTCGCTCTGTTGAATCAAACAAAGAAGAAGAGTCCTGGAGGGAAACCTTTAATTTCTCAAGAGGCCACAGCATCCATTACTGAACTGATTTACTCTTAATCAAACTTGTTTAAAACTGATTTATATTGTAAAATTGATCATTCACAGTCTAATTTATGACTGACAAGAACATTAAGGTAGACTGTAATTGTTAGGAAACATTTGGTCATGTCAGAATTAACGACTTTACTAAATTCAAATATCTAGTTTTC